ATTGCATTTGAGAAAAATGCTATGCCACCGCATTAATACAACATTAAATAGTAGTGTAGGAACATATTTTTTTTGTTTCTATACAATTGAAGATTCTCATAATGCATAGATCCCTGACCTATCTAATTCTTATTATCAGATTAGTGGTTAAATCTATTGTTAATCGAACAAAAGGGCCATGATGGCCGTGAAGTCGCTCACCTGTACATAGGCCCCCGGAGCGGGGCGAGTTTAAAACCCGGGGCTTTAATTTGAACAAACTTGGTAGACAACCATTAGAAGATGTTTCATGCTAAACATCTAAGGTCTAGCTCGTTGAGTTTAAAAAAAAAAGATTTTTTAAGTTTTTACTATACACATATAGTTAAAAGCAATGACATCCCTAGGGCGGGGCCAGTTTTGACCCCAGGGCTTTTATTTGAACAAACTTTGAAGACACTCACTAGAAGTAGTTTCATGCTTAATATCTAAACTCTAGCTATTTGTTTTTATTCAAAGAAGATTTTTAAGTTTTTGCTATACACATATAAGGAAAATTAATGTCCCCAGGGGCAGGGCCAATTTTGACCCTAGGGCTTTTATTTGAACAAACTTTGAAGACACTAACTGGAAGATGTTTCATGCTTAATATCTAAACTCTAGCTATTTGGGTTTTTTCAAAGAAGATTTTTTTAAAAAACTTTTGCAATACACATATAAGGAAAATCAATGACCCACGGGGACAGGGCCAATTTTAACCCCAGGGCTCTTATTTGAACAAATTTGGTAGACACCCATTAGAACATCTGTCATGCTAAATATCTTAGCTCTAGCTCTTTGGGTTCTCTAAAAAAAGTTTTTTTAAGTTTTTACTATATGCATATAGGGAAAATCAATGACCCCCTGGGGCGGGGCCAATTTTGACCCCATGGCTTTTATTTGTACAAACTTGATAGACACTTATTAGAAGATGTTTCATGCTAAATATCTTAGCTCTAGCTCTTTGGGTTCTTTAATAGAAGATTTTTTAAGTTTTTTCTATATGCATATAGGGAAAATCAATGACCCCCTGGGGCGGGGCCAATTTTGACCCCAGGGCTTTTATTTGAACAAACTTGATAGACACTCACTAGAAGATGTTTCATGCCAAATATCTAAGCTCTACCTCTTTGGGTTTTTTAAAAGAAGATATTTTTTTCTATCGGTTGCCATGGCAACCAGAGTTCTGCATGGAATTAAATTCTTTGAACAATATTTAAAGGTGACCACCAAAGAAACATTCCTGTGAAGTTTGGATGAAATTGGCTCAGTGGTTTATGAGGAGATGTCATTTAAAGTAAAAGTTTACGGACGACGGACGGACGGACGACGGACAAAAAGCGATCACAAAAGCTCACCCTGTCACTTTGTGACAGGTGAGCTAAAAAAGCCTTGATAATGTAAAATTTTCTAAGTAAGGAAAAGGGTAAAATTTTTCTTTAAATCCATATTACAGATATAGGCCTTGGAGATAGTCCTATTATGCTCTCAAAGAAGACAATAAAATTTCAGCTTGTTTCAAAGCCATATGTCAATGGACTTTGAAAATATTTAAGGTATTACAAAAACTTTAACATAAATTCTAAGTCGAAAAAGGGGCATAATTCTGTCAAAATGCTTGATACAGTTACCTTCCCCTGTCTACAGGTTGGGGTCATGATGTTGAACAAGTGTGCACAGTTTCAAAGCTATATGTCAATGGACTTTGAAAATATTTTAGGTATAACAAAAACTTTAACATAAATTCTAGGTCGAAAAAGGGGCATAATTCTGTGAAAATGCTTGATACAGTTACCTCCTCCTGTCTACAGGTTAGGGTCATGATGGTGAACAAGTGTGCAAAGGTTCAAAGCCATATGTCAATGGACTTTGAAAATATTTGAGGTATTACAAAAACTTTAACATAAAGTGGTTACGCCGAGGCGGACACCAACGCCGACGCAGACGCTCGGGTGACTACAATAACTCTACTTATTCTTATCGAATAGTCGAGCTAAAAAGTCAAGATATTGAAGAAACTATATAACTGAAGTTGGACAGTTAGGTAAGGAAGAATACAGAACATTAAATTATAACAAGAGCTGTCACAGGAGACAGCGAAGCTCAACTAATAAAATACTGGACACAGCTAGGAAGACAAAACTATGAAAGAAAAATCAATTATGTACAATTATGTATTATGTTATAGTAAAAATATAACATTTGTTAACATAAATTCCAAGTTCAAGGGGAGTAATTCTGGTAAAAGTCACGCTAGAGTTATGAACCTTGTCACACAACATGTGTGTAATGATAAGAAATATCTATTAAAATTTTGAAGTTTGAAGTAGATACCTTAAAAAGTATAGAAGTTATTATATTTCTGAAAGAATATCCTAAGTTCAAAGAGAGACAAATCTGAAAATATTGCTTCAAGAGTTATTGACCTAATCAAATCACGATGTAATTAATGATGAGGAATAAGTATCTGAAGTTTGAGGTATATACCTTTAAAACTAAAAAAGTTAAGTAAAAAATAACATTTTTCAAGTAAAAAAATCTAAGTTTATGGGGAGATAATTCTTGCAATATTGGTGCTAGAGTTATGAACCTAGTAACGTTACATGTGGTAAATGATAAGGTACATATATTTGAAGTATGTAGTTGATCCCTTAAGAAATAAATAAGTATCAGTTAACAAGAGGGCCATGAAGGCCCTAGATCGCTCACCTGACCCATCGAACTCATCCGAACAATTACCTAGACAAACATTCTGAACAAGTTTTATGACAGGCGAGTCAAAAATGTGACCACTAGAGTGTTAACAAGGTTTTTCTATTTTTAGCCCCGGTGACCAAGTTTTTCATCCGAGATGACCCATGTTCGAACTCATCTGAGCTATCAACAAGACAAGCATCCTGACCAAGTTTGATGATGATTGAGGCAAAAAATGTAACCGCTAGGGTGTTTACAAAATTTTTCTACTTTTAGCTCCAGTGACCTAGTTTTTCATCCGAGATGACCCATGTTTGAACTCATCCGAACTATCACCTAGACGAGCATCCTGATCAAGTTTGATCATGATTGAGGCAAAAATGTGACCGCTAAAGTGTTAACAAGGTTTTTCTATTTTTAGCTCCTGTGACCTAGTTTTTCATCCGAGATGACCCATGTTCGAACTCATCCGAGCTATCAACTAGATAAGCATCCTTACAAAGTTTGATGATCATTGAGGCAAAAATGTGACCGCTAGAGTGTTAACGAACAAGTGTGGACGGACGACAAACATTCAATGATCCTAAAAGCTCATCCTGAACTAGCTCAGGTGAGCTAAAAATAATATTTTTTTAAGGAAAAATCTAAGTTAAAGGGGAGATAAATCTGAAAATATTGGTGCTATAGTTATAAACCTTATCACAAAGGATGTGGTTGATGATAAGGTACATATATTTGAAGTATGAATTTGATCACTAAAGAAATAAAGAAGTAACAGTAAAAAATATTTTTTAAGGAAAATTACATGTTCAAGGGGAGATAAATCTGAAAATATTGGCGCTACAGTTTAGTTATGAACCTAGTCACATAAGATGTGGTTGATGATAAGGTGCATATATTTGAAGTATGAATTTAAACCCTAAAGAAATAAAGAAATAACAGTAAAAAATATTTTTAAGGAAAATTTTATGTTCACAGGGAGATAAATCTGAAAATATTGGGGCTACAGTTATGAACCTTGTCACAAAAGATGTGGTTGATTACAAGGAACATATATTTGAAGTATGAAGTTGATCCCTTAAGAAATAAAGAAGTAACAGTAAAAAATATTATTTTTTAAGGAAAATTCAAAGTTCAAGGGGAGATAAATCTATAAATATTGGTGCTAGAGTTATGAACCTTGTCACATAAGATGTGGTTGATGATACGGAAGATATATTTGAAGTTTGAAGTTGATACCTTAAGAAATGAAAAAGTTATAGTGAAAAATATTGTACTGCACCAAAACTTTAATCTGAAATCTGGATGCGGACACTGGGGCGAGTAGGACAGCTCTTCATATACTTTGTATAGTCTAGCTTAATTTTCATTAAGACAATGGCAATAACTCTACAAATACTGAATAAATCCACAAGCAAACCATCAGGTGCACAACTTCTTATGCTGACCAACATTTCTGTTAAGTTTCATGACTCAAATACTTTTTGAGCTATGCACATGAAAAAAATGAAAATATGAGCAACACAAATAGAAAATTTGAACTTTTCCTAAGTCAAGGGCCATAACTCTGACAAAACAATAAATCCACAAGCAAACTATCAGGTGCACAACTTCACATCCTCCGCAACATTTCTATAAAGTTTCATGACTCTAGGTCAAATACTTTCTGAGCTACTTACAATGTATGACACAAAAGAGAACGGATGGATGGATGGACATGGGTAAATCTAAATGCCCAACCCCCTATAATGGGGGTACAAAAAACATGACCAGGAAAATCGACTGCAGAAAACAAAATATCAAAATAACCGAAGAAGAGTGTATGTAAATTGACTCATAAACAAACTAAAAATGTTTCAATATGACACAGGTGCCCCCCACATTCCACCGATTTGTCAATCTTATGTCTCTAGGTCAAATATTTTTGGGCAACATGTGCCCAAGTTGAAACCTAAAAGTCTTTTATCAAGTAAAGGGCAAATACTACAAATACTGAATAAATCCACAAGAAAACCCCAGGGTGCATAAGTACACATGCTGACCAACATTCTTGAAAACTTTCAGGCCTACAGGTCAAATACTTTTTGAGTTACGTGCAACACAAGTTGAATATTGTAAATTTTTACTAAATCAAGGACAATAACTCTAAAAACACTTAAAATATCCATAAGAAAATACCCAGGTGCACAACTACACATGCTGAGCAGCATTCCTGTATTAGGTTTCATGACTCTAGGTCAAATTCTTTTTTAGTTACATGCAACTCAAGTTAAAAATTGGAAATTACCTAAACTATTGTCTCCATGTTCTCCTGTGATAATTTCGTTACAACAAGGACACGTATACACTATAAATTTAGACTGGTCATCTATCACATATTTATGATGCACTGCCAATGGGGAGAAGAGATGGTGAGCTAAACGAACAGTCCAAGATGCTTCATTTCCTTTTGTTTTATGACTATGTACTTCTGCAGACATGCTCTTGCTGACATCTGAAGAAAAAACATGCAAATTATAAGACATTGCTTTTTTTGAAGCTCCATATAAATTCCTGAATAAAAAATTCAAGTTAATGAACAAAAATGTAATAATTCAAGAAGTAAGTCATAGAATATTGAAGCTTAAAGGGCAACAAAGTTAAGCCCATCATTTGCTGAGACACTGCCTTCAGGGAAAACTGAGTAAGCATTCCGCCAAGTAGGGCAAAATACACCAAAAAAAGAAAAGTGGGAAGCAAAATTGAAAGAATCAGCAAAATATCAAGATTTTTGTTGCAATATAAAGATTTTATTGGAATATATACCTACAATTTTAACAAGCAGGTATAAGTTTTTTAAATTATCTTTTTATCTAAACAGCACTGGGAAGAAATCAACAAGAGGGCCATGATGGCCCTAAATCGCTCACCTGAATAAAGTTGCCTGCTTTTCAAAAGAAATTTTAGACATTTTGAGAAGACTGATTCTACACAAATACACAACCAATGTTTCAAAGAGATCAGTCATAAATACTATAAACTAGAAATAAAATGAAACAAACAAACAAACAAGAAATGTCCAAATGTAGTGACATTTGAAAGAATAAAGGGCTGCATTACTCATCGAAAATAGAACTGCCACTGTCATGGCGTGAATATCCCCGCATACCACTTTGTCAGAATCAACAGCGGCCCTTTAGAGCTCAAGGACAACCTCCCAGCCAAATCTGAGGTTACTAGGCCATTGCTATGTATTCTACATGCTTCAAATGTGAAAATGTCAAAATCAATACACTGCAGACAGGCATTCTTTAGCATTTGAGCAGCCAAGCTTATCATAGTAAAAATCCCTGTGACCTTGACCTTTGACACAGTCACCTAAAAATCAAGCAGGGTCATCTTCTAATTATAAACAACCTCAATACCAAATATGAAGACTGTTGACCAAAGCATTTTTTAGCAATAGAGCTGAAAAGCTTTTTTAGTCAAGGCCCCTGTGACCTTGACCTTTGACCTTAAAATCAATAGAGGTCAACTAATAGTCATGATGAACCGCCATGCAAAATATGAAGACTGTGGGTCAAAGGTTTTCTTAAGTTATTGGGCGAACTAACTTTTAAAGTCAAAGTCCCAGTGACCTTGACCTTTAACCCAGTGATCTCAAAACCAATAGGGGTCATCTACTAAACATGATTATCTCCATGCCAAATATGAAGACTCTGGGTCAAAGGAATCTAAGTTATTGGGCAGACAAGCTTTTCTTAGTCAAAGCCCATGTGACCTTTGACCCAGTGACCTCAAAATCAATAGGGGTCATCTACTAAACATGACTAGCCTCCATGCAAAATATAAAGACTGTTGGTCACAGGAATCTTAAGTTATTGAGCAGACAAGCTTTTTTCAGTCAAGACCCCTGTTAACTTGACCTTTTGACCTCAAAATCAATAGGGGTCATCTACTTATCATGACTAACCTCCATGTCAAATATAAAGACTGTGCGTCAAAGGAATCTGTAGTTATTGGGCAGACAAAATTTTTTCAGTCAAGGCCCCTGTGATCTTGACCTTTGACCTGGTGACCTCAAAATCAATAGGAGTCACCTACTTAACATGACTAGCCTCCATTCCAAATATGAAGACTGTGGGTCAAAGGAATCTTAAGTTATTGGGCGGAAAAGCTTTTTACAGTCAAGGCCCCTGTGACCATGACCTTTGACCTGGTGACCTCAAAATCAATAGGGGTAATCTACTTATCATTACTAAACTCCATGCCAAATATGAAGACTGTGGGTCAAAGGTATCTTAACTTATTGGGAAGACAAGAAACAAGAGCTGTCACAGGAGACAGCCAAGCTCCACTAATAAAATACTGGACGCAGTAAGGAGGACAAAACTATGAAAGAAAAATTAATTATGTATAATTATGTATTAAGTTATAGTAAAAAAATAACATTTGTTAAAATAAATTCCAAGATCAAGGGAAATAATTCTAGAAATAGTCACGCTAGAGTTATGAACCTTGTCACACAACATGTATGTAATGATAAGAAGTATATATTTGAAGTTTGAAGTATATACCTTAAAAAGTAACAAAGTTAAAATATTTCTTAAAGAAAATCCTAAGTTCAAAGAGAAATAAATCTGTAAAAATTACTTCAAGAGTAATGAACATTGTCACATAAAATATAATTGATTATAAGGAATAAGTATTTGAAGTTTGAGGTAGATACCTTTAAAACTAAAAAGGTTAAAGTAAAAAATAACATTTTTCTAGTAAAAAAATCTAAGTTGATGAGGAGATAATTCTTGCAATATTGGTGCTAGAGTTATGAACCTTGTCACATAAGATGTGGATGATGATAAGGTACATTTATTTGAAGTATGAAGTTGATCACTTTAGAAATAAAAGTTACAGTAAAAAATAATATTTTTTAAAGAAAATTCTAAGTTCAAGGGGAGATAAATCTGAAAATATTGGTGCTAAAGTTATGAACCTTGTCACATAAAATGGGGATGATGATAAGGTACATATATTTGAAGTATGAGGTTGATCCCTTAAGAAATAAAGAAGAAACAGTAAAAAATAGCATTTTTTTAAGGAAAATTCTAAGTTCAAGGGGAGATAAATCTAAAAATATTGGTGCTTAAGTTATGAAACTTGTCACATAAGATGGGGATGATGATAAGGTACATATATTTGAAGTATGAGGTTGATCCCTTAAGAAATAAAGAAGTAATTGTAAAAAATAGTATTTTTTAAGGAAAATTCTAAGTTCAAGGGGAGATAAATCTAAAAATATTGGTGCTAGAGTTATGACCCTTGTCCTATAAGATGTGGTTGATGATAAGGAACATATATTTGAAGTTTGAAGTTGATACCTTAAGAAATGACAAAGTTATAGTGAAAAATATTTTACTGCACCAAAACTTTAATCTGAAATCTGGACGCGGACGCCGACGCCGGGGCGAGTAGGACAGCTATCCATATTCTTCGTATAGTTGAGCTAAAAACCGACAGACGCCCGACGGCCGGACAGACAAGCTGATTCCAGTATACCCCCCTTACAACTTTGTTGTGCGTGGGTATAAAATAGATAGATTTGAAAATCAAGTTATGATTTTATGTACAATACTTACCTAGACGTACCTAGAATGATACATTCAGAATATCACTTGCGACTAACTTATTGACTCACTTGTTTATGTTAGTGACAGTTTTCCTAACCTCACTTTCAGATAACCAATCAACCACATGACCTTGCTTTCTTGGCGATCAACAAATCGCCATAGAAAAACTGAACTCCTGTGGGGACAGTGGTGGGTTCATGTAGCATTCTTAGGTAAGTATTGTACTCATAAAATCATTTTTAATTATCTTTTTACTGTCCTTGTATGCATGTTTGATAGTTTTGACAATCCATTTTGAAATTGTCTGTGCTGTAACTGGTCTATGAGGTTTGTTATCGGAAAGAAATAGTTCAGTACCAAAATTGTTCTGTGCCTTTTAAATACACAGCCAAAAAACGTTTAGGATAATTTGTTTTTTGGAAATGCTGAAATGAACACATGTCACGAACATGATTTGGTCTGTCTTGCTTGGAAAAGCCTTGTCTTATGAAACTTATACCTTTACTTTGTCAACATTTCCTTCACCATACCTGAGACTGCAGATCACTACATCATTTGAAAGATGTTACAGCAATAAGGAAGCTTGTTTTTCAGGGACGCTTTTTCAACAGTTCAAAAGGAGTCTGTTAGTGCCTGTAATACAAAAGGTAAATCCCATTCACCATGTTCACAGGAACAAGCTTCTTTAAAATCCCATTCAGGAACAAGCTTTTTTAACAAAAAGTTTTTCAGATAAAAAACGTATGCATTTGTTGTTCACCTATCTGAATGACAGAAAATTCTGAACTTAGATCTATAGTCATTTCTATAAGTGCCCTTTCGCCATGAGGCAGCCAGTAATTTCCTATATTTCTCTGAAAAGCCTTTCATGTTTCATAGTATTTGTCGATATGAGCCATGCAGTCAGATTTAGAATATATCCCTAAAATTAACCATAATTATGAGGGGCTGTTTTCAAGTTTGCCTAAATTTTCTTAAAGGTATATTGGTTGATCATGCAAAATATAAAATACTTTAAAGCTACATTAAATAAATATGTTAAAATAGTTTTGCCGTCGGCCTAAAAACCAAGCATTCTACAGTTTCATTAACCTTTTTAACAGTATTGTTGTTAATCTCATCAAATATAGTTCATAAATTAGGATTTTAAATGGAAAACCCCACGGTACTACTAAAGTTCGTATACGAATTTAATATGCAAATGAAGACTATAATCAGCTCGTGTATGCGCTACGTCACGGTGTTAAGGTTATAGTTGCTATCCGGAACACAGCAAATATAAGATTTCCTTGTGCAAACACACTTTTACCGTTTAAACTTCACGGTGCACGAGGCCTGTGGTTCAGAAAAAATAATCATCTCATAAAAAAGATTAAATGTGTATGAAAATATCAGTTACAATGCGGAAATATACCGTTAAATTAGGACTTCTACTTATAGTCATGTTTTTTTTAATTTAATATTGATGTACGGATGATCCGAAGGCGGAGTAAATTCTCATGCAAACAGAAATTGTACTACCGAAATCGCCACAATAAGGTTGCACATTTGTATTAAACTCATTTTGGTTGTCTGGACACCAAAATAAGATCTGGAGTCGATATGAAACCCAATTTATAAATGAAATGTCGCTTTTTCTTTTTTATGAAATTTATTTAATGTAACTTTAACCGTGTAGTTATTATTTTATTAAACTTTGAAAACATCTGGTATCATATTTGCTTTAAATTTTGGCATTATTTAGCAAATAAATGCCTACAATAATTATTTAATTTAAATCAAACCATTTTTTCTTCCATAAGGGATCAGAGAGATACATAAATAATGTTAAAAAGAAAACAAGAGCAATCAATGATCACATGTGTCGCCTCATGATGGCCAATTTCATGTTGGGACAAGTTTTATGACAGACGGACAGACAGACGGACAGTGCGCAACTAGACTTGGTACTGATCATTCCTGTAAAGTTTGGATGAAATTGCACCAGTAGTTTATGAGGAGTAGTCCGGACAAGCTTTTGTGTATCTGGCAAGACACAGAAAAAAACACCTTTTTATCAAAGGGCCATAACTCAGCCAAAAATCATTCAACCGGAAAACCCGTGCAATATGCATAAAGACTTGAGCTACAGATCAATCCTGTAAAGTTTCATTGAAATTGCATTAGTTGTATAAAAGAGGTAGTCCGGACAAACTTTAAAAATAAAAATTATTAAAGGGCCATAACTCTTACAAAAATCATTGAACCGGAAAATGCTGACAATATGCACAACTAGACTTGGTACTGATCATTCCTGTAAAGTTTGGATGAAATTGCACCAGTAGTTTATGAGGAGTAGTCCGGACAAGCTTTTGTGTATCTGGCAACACACAGAAAAAACACCTTTTTATCAAAGGGCCATAACTCGGCCAAAAATTATTCAACCGGAAAACCCGTGCAATATGTGCATGGACTTGAGCTACAGATCAATCCTGTAAAGTTTCATTGAAATTTCAATAGTGGTATAAGAGAAGTAGTCCGGACAAACTTTAAAAATAAAAATTATTAAAGGGCCATAACTCTTACAAAAATCATTGAACCAAAAAATGCTGACAATATGCACAACTAGACTTGGTACTGATCATTCCTGTAAAGTTTGGATGAAATTGCACCAGTAGTTTATGAGGAGTAGTCCGGACCAGTTTTGTGACGGACGGATGGACAGACGACGGAGAAGTGATCCCTATATGTCGCCACTACTCCGTGGGGCGACACAAAAAGAAAGAAAAAAAGTTGCCCCTTCTGGGGTTTGAACCCACACCCCTCAATTTCAATGTATCTAGCCTATTTGAATACTCTTCAAAGTGGAGGTAATGCATTAACCATGGTCTACCTTAACGCAGCCAATTCAGAGCAATAAGGATTAGTGTACACTGATATTTCTGAATGCGAGATAGAACACGCAGTATTAACTTTATCTGTGGAAATGCATAAGCATACATGTTTGTCCATGAGATAGAGAGGGGATCCACTGCATATGCCGCTGGGTGAGGAATCCAAGTACAAAACCCAAGATGCTGAAAATCTTTCTCACAAGTGTTTTGTTCGAGGACCACTCTGTCTCCCAGTCATCGAATTTAGCACTGGCACGGTGTAAATAAGTCTGAGGCCAGTGTAAATTTTAAGAAAATTGAGTTTAATATATAGTAGAATAAATTCAAAACTGGAATTCAGGCCAGTAAATTCAAAATCTTAAATTCAATGACTGGTCTCCTTTGTTCTGTATCTGCTCACAGTGCATCTACCAGGACATTTGTGTCTCCAGCTAAATGTGCTGCTGTCAGTGACATGACATTGCCTAGTACCAATGTCCAAAGGTCCCAAGTTTTCTGGCAAATATTGAGGGGTGATTCCGAGTGTTCATTTGCAGCAAAACACTGTGTCCGTTTCCCAAAAGAAATTAATATTTTTGCATTTTCTTTCTCAGTGTTTTAAAGCAGCACGCCTCCAGATTCATGATAATTTTTATGAAAGTTTTGAAAATGTATTTGAATGTGTAATATTGTGAAGTAACCTAAAGGAAGCAATTACACATTATCAATGGCACTTACAAACCATGTTATGAACCAAAAAACAACACAGTAAAAATATAGTTGTTAATACTGAAAAATCAGTCATTAATCGCACATAGTATGTAAAACATTACTTGAATCTTGAAACTTTTCACTTTTCATTACATCTTAGTACATTTGTCTCAAGTTTTGATTTTATTGAAATATTTTGACTCATCTGGAGGCATGCAGCTTTAAAGGATATATGGCCAATTGTAATATATAGAATTTCACTAGATTTTCAAGGGAAAAGTAATAAATTAAATGACATTTAATATTTTACTACTAGTGAAATTTGAAAGAATAAAGGGCCGCAACTCATCGACAAACCATCTAACCTTTACGTGCCAATAATATGCAGAACAACAAATGGTAATAATCATTCTCTGAGGTTTGAAAAAAATCAGACCAGAGGTTATGGAGATATGTCTAAATGTGTTCAGATTTGGACAAATCAAGGGCCAAAACTCCACTGAAAATCACTGAACCCGAACATGCCTATGAAATACTCAACAAGCCTTGGTACCAATGTACCATAGCAAGTTTCATTGAAATCCAACCAGCAATTACTGAGAACAAGCACAAACAAACTTTTTGACATACAGACGAACAGACATACAATAAAAAGATAATTACATACAATGTACATAGGGAAAGGACAAAAACAATATGTCTCCCCCTATATAGGGAGACATAACAATCCGACCAAGTTGCATGAAGATACTAATATAATTATAACCTCTTTAGTGTTAACAAGCTTTTCCTTTAATTTAACCTGGTTACCTAGTTTTTGACCGCACATGACCCAGATTCAAACATGACTGAAAAATATCAAGACAAAATTCTGAACAAGTTTCATAAAGATGCAGTATTAAATATAACATCTAGAGGGTTAACAAAATTGTTAACAGACAGACCTACTGCAGATGGGCGTACAACGGACAAAAGGCAATCAGGAAAGCTCACTCTGCCACTATGTGACAAGTGAGCTAAAAACAAACCTCCATTTATAATGTAGAAATTCAAAAAACAAAAAATCCAATTCCACTGTAAATGAAATTTAACAAGAGGGCCAAGATGGCCGTATATCGCTCACCTGACCCATGTTCGAACTCGTCCCAGCAATTACTTAGACAACCATCCTGACAAAGTTTGATGACAATTCAGTCAAAAATGTGACCACTAGAGTGTTTTTCTATATTTGTGCAGTGTGCCCAAGGTGACTTGTATTTGAACTTGACCTAGAAATCATCAAATCATCTGAGCTTTTACCTAGATGAGCATCCTGACAAAGTTTGATGATGATTGAGTAAAACAAAAGACTGCTAGAGTGTTAACGAACAAGTGTGGACAGACGACGGACATTCAACGATCCTAAAAGCTCACCGAGCTAGCTCAGGTGAGCTAAAAACAAACAGTTTTGAGCCCCTCAATCAAGCTGAAAATCCAGTTTTGGCCCATTTCAGTTGTCACATGTATGATCATGTTTCTATGATATATATAAGGAAAAAAACACTGGTTATTTATGTAAGCTGTCCGGTTAGTTCAATAGGTAAAGCCTTGGACTGTGAATCAGGCAACCCCGGTTCGATTGCCGGACAAGGCAGGTCACTTACGTTGTGATTGATCATGACACCCTTTCTACTGTCATCCACACTGTGGCATCATACGGTTATCTGCCCCCGGGGCAGATTGGTTTATCTAAAAATCATGATCTCGTGGATGCTTGTTTTTTTACTTGAATTTCATTGGTTGAGGTTACTCCGAAGGAAGGGCAGTAATTCTTACTAAAAATTTTGCAGTTTCCTGCAAGATTAATTTCCCATAAATTTAAGCATGTCAGTACATGTGTACATTACATATTTATCTTGAAAGATTCATTCACTCTAAAATAAAATCAATTCAGTAATGTTTTCAGTATCTGCAAAATGTTTCATATTTATTATAATTTTCTATGGCTTTATTCTAAAGTGGAAAAATTCATGAAAATGTTATTGAACGTTTTGTCATCCGTGTATTACTTAAATTACTGTTAAATTCATTAAATTACGTGACTATAGAGCAGTATAGACAGTTAGGTATGTAAGGGCTACCAAAAGGGTAATATCATTTAATCACACACATGTAGTTATATATAATCTGGTTTTCCTTCCCGGGGCAGATGCGTACTGAGCATTTGTAGTGATAGTTTTTATTTGTTTGGGTCGTCAGACCAAACAAATAATGGTAGCGGAATTTCAGAGTCTAATGCTGTTATTTGCAAATGCCTAAAGTAGTCCACTTTTTTGAAGCGGTTACTTCCCTTTATATGTACACTAACGCCGAAAAATTCAGGGGAGATCAATGCGTAAAGATTGTCAAATGACAGGCGCATTAATTTTCAAGCAAAGTAGTTCCCGAATGGTCGAAGATTTCTAATATTGTTTCATTCTTTATAGATATACATGCTTACAGTAAGCTCCATGATTATTTACATCTGTGTTAAACAACAGGTTTAGCGTCGAAATAATAAGAGTTACAAACCCTAATTTAGAATAATATGGTTTTCTTCAGGCCGTTAACATATAACTTCACCGTGGCCGAGGGGTTTGCACGCTCGCTTATGAATCGAGAGGTCTGGAGTTCAAATCCCAGTTGAGGCAACTCATTTTTTTTTTTTTTTTTAAGTCAAATAAACATTGAATTGACTATCAGTGTTGCAATTAGTCTTATAGCCAATTTACTACAGTTAAAACACTGGAAAGCATTGGTGGCACTATACAAAAACAAATTGGTTTATAATCTCACAACCTTCACCTTTCTGACATTCTGAGACCCAAACAAATTCAGCGCCTTCTGTGCTTTGATTTAAACCAGTTAATAACGTTCGATCCTTATGAAGTTATTCACACAGTAAGTTAAACCCCACAAAAAACATTGCCAAGCCCCATTTTTTAAAGCATGAAGGTCCCCGAAGAAAACGCTCTTCCCGGGGAATACTTCCCCTTTAGTAGCATTTTAATTTTGTTAGTAATTTATTTCGTCGCTATATATTATATACTCTGATTATCAGTCCCGGGGCAGATAACCGGATATTGCCCACACTGCCTCTGCTATGACATGTAGTCTGAGTAGTTTCAGTTCCTTGCGGAAGTGAAGGCAACTAGTACTGGTAAACAGCTTGACAGCCTGCCCAGGAACGATGCGGTGGTTGAACTGTCTTAGTGTTCTCTGGTGAATTCAATGTGGCTTCCTGTCGTGATCCGGAGTGAAAACTACCAACACCACCACATTTCTTATATAGTTGATATAGACTGTCAATGGGTGCATTTTGTAATATCACTGTGTTAGAAATTAGGATTTGAATCCACTAGGCTGGATGGACTACCAGATTGAAATATTCACTAGCCCAAAAGACATTTCACTAGCACAATTCATTGGTTCAAAACAGTTGTTTATATTGCGTCTGAAAATACAGTAGCCTGGTCGGGCTTGTTACTTTGAAAAATTGGTAGTCCGAGGAGAAATTTAGTAGTCAGGGGCTATAGGACTACTGCTAATTTCGAACACTGAATTATCAACCTTTTAATCAATAATATCATAGGTATCTGGATGTTTCATCTCCTGGACATTTCAACCCCGAAACCCTGACCAGTCTTTTTGGCACCTTTTTTTATTTGATAAAGATGTAAAATAAATACAATTATGAGTTAAAACAGTAAATAAAATATAATTTATACTTGTAAACACATTACATTTTTGTTATATAGAATTTTTTTATCATGAATACATCGGGAGGGGGGAAACGTCTTGGGAGGAAACAGTTGAGGGGGGGGGGGGGGGGTCTGTCATTAATGCACAAAATGTAGCTGAATAAACTAAATTGGGAATGTTATAGTTGAGTGCGGAAGTTTCTGCTTCAGATTGGAATAAAATGGAACGGTAATGTAACGATTCGCCACACTAACGATTCGCCACATAACGATTCGACACAGAGTAATAACGATTCGCCACAGGTAAATAACGATTCGCCACGTGTTCAAATACAAAGTTTTTCATACCTGTTTTCAAATTGTTGATGGAAATTTTACTTAAAGTTTACTATTTTTTGTCCATGGGCCCAGATTTGAGCAATAAATCCTTTCGATTAACAGCTAAAAGTAAATCCGCATTCAAGAACTCCCTTCGATTTCTATATTGGTTTCCCCGTCGATGATTCGCAGCATGTCATATTAATGAATGAGAACCGGAAAGCAGTTCTGCTGTTACATAAATTCAAAAGCTATAAATAGCTATAAATGTTATACATTTGTTATTTCCCTTTTTTAGTAGTACATGCAATTATAATTTGTTACATTTTGACACAGCATATCAAGTATACTATTAGTGATTGAATTTGTCAATATAAAGAAGATTTCAGGCGAAAGATTTTAACAATTTTGCTTTTGATAATTATTTTTAATTTATATTTATGAAATTAAATGTTTAATAATAACATGTTGATATATTGGTTGTTTTGAAATAATTAAACTTTAGTATATTAGGTTACATTTCATTGGCGTCATTGATACAGCTTACCACTTTGTGAAAATGGTATGAAAGCTGACATGTTCGGGGGGTCCGTACTCGACAGCGAAAGCTGCATTTTGTAGCCTTGCGAGCGGATGGACCCTCCTTACGATTTTCGCTCAGTCAGCCAAGTTTGTTGAGCAAAGTGAGAATAGGCCAAAATTCATATATCAACAAAGCTCACATTGTTATATGATGAGCTATTTGCAAGTACACTTCAAATTCTATAGTTTAAAGACTATTTTAAACAAAAATAAAAATGATAACAATAAGAATTTTACCTTGAATGGGCTACATTTCTGAAGACCAAAAACATTCTGTTGCAAATATTTATGCACATTTCATGAATGGCAAAATCCAGTTTAAAGTTTTTTTTAGTGCAAACAAATGGTACTTTTTGCAGAAAATACAAACAAAAACTTTTAAAAACATAAATCTTAGGAAAGTAGTTTATCTGACCTTGAAAAAACATGGCCTCCATGGCATGTGTAAAAAAGTAGTACCATGAAAATAAACAATAATTTACCTATTTCTTGTGTACATGACAAACAGACACACTTCACTGTTACACATAAAAAGGTTAGATTTTAAAGTTTGATTGTGTTTTCATTTTAATTGTAGTTCATAAGGCTATAAATGATGATTGTTTTCTTGCACTACTTTTTTACAAAAAATAATGGAGGCCATGTGCTTAGAAGGACGTGAGATACTGATTTATTTGGAGTTAAGTTTTGAAAGATTTTTGTATTTGCTGTAAAACAAATAGCTTTTGTTGGCACTAAAACAGACTTTTGAAAGGATTTTGCAATACATGAAATGTGCATAAAACTTTGCAACAGAATGTTTTTGGTCTTCAGAAATGTAGCACATTCAAGGTAAATGTTCTTATTGTTATCATTTTTATTTTTGTTTATAATTGTCCTTAAAATATAAACCTGGAAGTGTATTTTCAAATGGTTCATCATTTTACAATAAGAGCTTTGTTGTTATATGAATTTTGGCCTACTTTCACTTTGGACAGACTTTAGTTAAAACAAACATGACTGACAAAGCGGAATCGCCTTAAGCAAAGGCTATAGATAGATATCATGACAACAACAAAAACATTGATCTGCAGTTTGAACATGAAGTGTAATGTTTTTTTTATGAATGGTTTTAAAGCAATTCAACATAAAATATATATTATTCTCCCTAAAAATTAATTAACAATAGTTTTTTTTATATATTACCAATGTCAAATAGCTTTCATATCTTTGTCTCGCACGAATTTGATATAAGTGAATTTCCTCATACCTACCTTAAATTCAGGTAACAGTCTTCTATTATATTGATAACTACTGTATCACCATGTAACGCGTGTATAACAAACTAAAAAATCTTGAATTTGGTCTTTTGGAAATTCATCCCATTTTTTTCATTCCAGAGTGTGTTCTACTTTCAGTATTGAAAGAAACCATTTTTTTTAATTTGACATGAAAAATATATATGTAATATTACTATATTATAATATTATATAGTCCCTTTTGTTACTATTTGTATATTTGTTACAATTATAACAGACTTTGATATTTCTATCATCTATCTTCTGTTACTAAAACAGAACACAGTACAGTCATGTCACATAACATTTACAAGTCTTTTAAGTCTTCTTTGTTTTCAATGGAATTACTTTCTTACCAGGTAGGCATCAGTGAAAGCATTTTTTATATTAAATATTTTTCCCCTCTCTTTAACGATGGACAGTTATGGACAGTGCATAAGATAAGTATAATTATGCAAAAAATGGTTTACAAAACATTCGGAAAAAATCTACAATAGTACTTAATCTGAATATAACATGACCTGTGCGTAGGAATAATTTGGTAAGGTATCAAAGAGCAGCAACCATTCTGACTTTTAGGGCCCCTGTGAATTTGACCTTAAATTTGACCTAGTGACCTCAAAATCAATAGGGGTCATCTACTAGTTATGAACTATCAATATGTGAAATATGAAGACTTTGTTATCAATAGTAATCAAGATAATGAGCGGAAACTATTCTGACATTTAAGGCCCTTGTCACTTTGACCTTTGACCTAGTGACTCTAGAATCAATAGGGGTCATTTATTAGTTATGGCCAATCAATATGTGAAATATTAAGACTTTGTTTTCA